CCTGACTCTCCTGACCCGGAACCCGATCCATCCGAGCCGCGCCGAGAACGCTGCCCTCGCTGCAGCTCACGCGACACAAAGTTCTGTTACTATAACAACTACAACACTTCCCAACCCCGTCACTTCTGCAAATCCTGCCGTCGCTATTGGACCCTTGGTGGATCTCTCCGTAACGTCCCCATCGGAGGCTCATCTCGTAAGCGCCTCCGCCCCGCCGCCGCGCCTCCTCCTGCACAGCCCCTCTCAGCCGTCCCTCCGCCGCCGTCGGTCGAGGTCGGATTCTCGCCGCTGCCGATTGGGTTCCCGCCGGGCCTGGGCGAGGGGATAATGGATAAGCGGATCGGGTTTGATCTTGGCCTTGGACTTGGTATTGGTCCCGGGCCGCTGCTTTGGCCTTTATCTTTGTTTGAGGAGGACGTCGTGGGGGACACATGGCGGATAGATAGTGGAGGTGAGACATTCGGTGCAACTACGGCGGTGTGGAAGGATGTGGGATTTTCAGCGCCGATGGAGGGTGGCGCCGGCGGTGTCGGTGCGCCGGAGAGGAAAGTTCATTAGTTAGTGGCGTTTTCGTGGATATGTGGAAGTTTTGGTGCCTTCTCCAGTTTTGGGTTTATGTTTATGGCTGGGTGTTTCTCAGGAACAGATTACCGCAGGACACTTGTTTTCTATTTGGCTCTTCTCTTCTCCAATCTCGTGAATATGAGTGACGTTTTAGTTTTATTTTCTAAATGGTAATGATATAGTTTTTTCTAAATTTGTTTTTGCTTTAAAATTTCATAATCGATTTTAATTTTCCATGTTTTATTTCATTCCTTCAAATAAATTGAAAAAATAAAATAAAATTTTCTTGCCATTTCTTATGCACAAATGATCATCTTAAGTAAATTATGCTTTCTCTTTAATTCTTATTAGGCAATTTTGTTTTTCTTATGAAATTTTGTTTTATAAATAAGAGTCATAATTATATTTTATTATTTATTTGAATATAATTAAAAAACAAATTGAAATTTGAAACTATATAAATCACTAGAATATAATAAATTTGCACAACAAATAAAAAAATTAGATTTTTTTGTGTCCACAAAATTTTGTTTTTAACTACAATTAAATGTTGTTGTTGTTATAATTTTTTAATACAAATAAAAAATTCTCTTTGTTATGATATTAATAGAAGATTGTAATCTGGAATAAAAAATTCGATGGTCCAAATCATATAACTTTACCTTCCCATTTTATAATTCTGACCTTCCCACTTCAAATAGGGTTGGATGGTATTTTGATTTATAGAGAAACTCTTTATTCTGTTCGATGAATGGTCTCTCTCTCTATGTATATATACCATTTTCTCTCTCTTAATATACATCCACTTGAAGTATTATTCCTATCATATTTTTATTCCGGCAAATAACTTTTAAACTATTTTTCGAACCAAAATATTTCTATTGAAGAATGATTTTTTATATTTAAGGATGTTCATTAAAATTTAAGATAAATAATCTCCCTTTTTATCGATGTAAAATTTCTTTTTTATTGATATTAAATTTAAATAAGTTGAACTTACTTAAAATATTTTGTTGAATGAAAATTAATTATTTGTTATTTGAGATCATATAAGGATTTCATATGAATGGGGCGAAACTCCGTTGTAATATGAATGAGCATTTGATCTTCCTAAAAAAAGATCAGTTTTACTTCTAAGGAGAGTACTCTTGAAATTTTGCTCCTAAATATTTTTTTTGCCCTACCATAAAGGGTTTTGCCCGCATTCAATCTCAACCCTATTTAGGCACGGCCAGTCGCTCATTGTTTCTCTCATCTCTTTCATATTTATAGGATGTCATATATTGGACTTATATGTCGCCACCCTTGCGACCCACTAAAATCTCATGTCTACGCTTCTCTTATCACTCACCTCGCTTCTCTGATCACTCACCTCGAACATTGCCCGGCCCACCTTCAAAAGTAAAGTTGGTTTTGTCATAGGCCTTAACTATCCGTAGACGGATATGAAAATTCCCTAATAAAGTCAATAAAGGCATCAAAGATGTATAGAGAAGATATATTGTCAAAGCTAAGATAGTGATGACTCTCCAAAATGGTGCCTATGGTGGAAAGGAGCCATAATCATGAGGTGTTGAGGTGGTGTCGATGGAACATCACACAGGCGCAGGGGCCACAGTTGTTACTAATGATAAGAATTCTAAGAAGTTTACAACAAGGGCATGGAGAAGCTGTCATAGGGGCACTAAGAATATATTAGCAGGGCACGATAAAGACACGACGAAACATCATTATGATGATATTTAAGAGTTTATTTGCCTAATTCATAACATAATAAGAAACACCTTCTTATTGTAATTTAATATTCATTATATAAATCACTTTAATGATAAAATTATTTTCAATTCAAGATAATAAAATATATTACAATAATTTTAAAGAAGACAACACAAAACTATTTTTAATGAAATATAACAACACAAAACTCTAATATTTTAAAGCAAAATCTTAATGCCACAGTCTGAATAAAAGTCATTTTTTATGTAAAATGTTTTTGTTATGAATCTGAATATTTATTACACCATAAAAAAAAAATTATTTTGTTAGGCAAATGATAGGAAAGTTGGTCGCATGAGGCTGTTTTTTAGTATATTAAATATCAATTTTCCAAACCTCTCTGTCATTAAAATATTTAAATCTATTCATTATAAATCATAAAGTGAAAGAAGCTGAAGACTATGGGTGGCAAATGAGCAGGTCCACAGGTACAACTCCAAAGCCAATCTGAAGTAGAAGATTATGGGTGTCAAAAATTGACCTTGCTCAAATTCGGCCCAAAAAATTTTGATTCATAATGATATGTTTAATAAATAGGTTGGGCTATGTCTCGAATTCAAAACAGTTTGTTAAATACAGGGACAGATCCAGCTTCTTTTTCAGGGTGAGAAAAAAAAAATTTCGTGGGAGATGGGCAAAGATGCCTAGCTAGTATTGATAAAATTAGGGCAAAAAATATTTTTGAGGGGGGCAAAATGCCCAAAATACTCAAAATATTCCAAAAAATCCCCTATAAATATTAAAAAAAAAAAATTTTGAGGGTGGGCATTTGCCCACCCTAAGACCATGGTGGATCGATCCGCCCAAAATACTCAAATGGGTTGGGTTCAAGTTGACCTGTAAATTCAATTTTGACCCAAAAGTGACTCGTTTAACTGTTTTTTTCAAATTCCTTTGCTTGTTAGTATAATCTCCTTATTTTATTAATCAATTTATCGAAACCCTATAGTTAAAAAGTAAAAAAAATGATGAATTAAAACGAGTTATTGTGTTGG